TATATATATATAATAAAATTTTTAATCCATATAATTATATTTCAAGTCACGCGCGAACGAAAATTTAGGTCCGCTACAAGAGTTCTTAGAAAAAAACATTACACATACAACTGCAGTATAGATACTGTGTGTGACACGTGACACACATGTGAGAACGTATTCGGAATCGGAGTCACGTCTTCACTATTGTTAATTGGACGCAGCATTTCCCGGACGTCCTATAAAGACATTTTGAAGTCAATTGGGATCATGAAAATTGACCTCTGTTTGTAGAAATTAAACGTGAACCACTTACGCGCCTATTCTCCTTTTTATTATCGTAGCGTAGCTGTAATTTTTCGCATACGTTTCTTTACATATATCCGTGTATCCTCAAATAAATGTCTGTTTCGGCTCTCCCTTTGCTTTTGATTTGCTTTTGTGGAACTGAGCGACAGCCTTGGCGCGCGCGTGACGACTCAGAGGGTGAAAAGATCGGGCAGACGGAGGAGCTCGGGGCTCGGGGCTCGGTGCAATCTTGGCGCAGCATTGAGCCCCGTAATACACACGGCATTGAGAATACACGCATACACGCGACGTGGTGTAAGCGACGTGCACGCGGTCGTCCGCCCCGCGATCGCCACATTCCAGGGGCTACCCAAACTGAAGCCTATACCTTATACACCGACCTTTCTCTCCTTCCTTCTCTCTCTCTCTCTCTCTCTCTCTCTCTCTCCCCTGCCTCTCTCTCTCTTCTCTCTTCTCTCTTTCACTTCTCTTCTTCTCCCCGTACACGCTTCACCATGATGTCCTCCCTCCGTGCCTCGTACATCCCTTTACCTATCCATATAGCGCTTTTTTTTCTACTTCACTCTCGTTCTCTCTTCCTCTACCTCGTCTTTCGGTCCTTCCTATGGTCTCTCGCGAGAATCCGCGCGCGAATCTTGTCCCTCTGCTCTATACGAAATTTACATATTCTCTCTCTCTCTCTCTCTCTCTCTCTCTTTCTTTCTCTCATTTTCTTTCACCCGCCAACAGCGCGCGAACGCGACACCTGATACAATCCCATCGGCATCATCAAATTTCATTCGATCATAAGATTTTACGAGACAACACTCATTGCATTTACTTTTATGCATTCGATTCAATTTCAATCAAGAGGTTCAGTTACCTCTTTGTGATTTTTCATATTACATATAGAAATCGAGAAGAGATGGGAATAAGAAGAAAGAGATATTGATAAGAACGTAAAAATTCAGCTCGAGTTGAAAAGGTCTGAACTAATTGTAAGATATTTACATAGGCAAATGCGATGGATGACGGTTAAAGTGTGATTAAAGCCGACGCGATTAGAATAAATATTGAAAGGATCACTTCTCTAACGGAAATCTGAAAAAAGACCCACGTTTAAAAACCCACAAATATTACTTAAATCCATTCTGAGAATATTACAAATATTACTCAAAATCTATTCTAAGAATGGATTTGGACACGGAAATAACCCGCAAAACGCATAGTTTCTGTGTAAAAAATGCCTGTGGAAGCCTCAAAAATATTAATACTACTTAAAGTTAGACAAGATTTAAAGAACTAGAATTTTTGCCATACATACATATATACATGTAATATTATATATGTATATTTTTTTAATTGATGCATACTAACTAAAAACGTATTTCAGTATTGCATATAATTTTGCATTTTTAGTAGCTTCGAATATCAAACGGCGGTTCTGATACATAACCTTCGGCTAATTTTAATTAATTTTCCATAAGTATTAAAGCAAAGACGAATTTAAACTTTGCGAAGAAATTAAAACGAGAACATACACCATCATTTATTTCTGGCATATTATTTTGAAGCACAGGAAAATAGCAAAAAAGACAATCGATTCGAGATTCGTATGAGTCCTCTAGCAGCTGAATTATGAATAGCTCTACTTTTTCTAAATTTTTTAATTTCGAGCATTCAATTACAACTTCCAGTTAACAACTTGATCAATTTTCGAAGCTTTCTGTTTCACAGAGTCGATCAGTTTGGCTTCTGAAACACTCACTTGTGACTTAAGGTGATGTCCATCGCGAGAGCATGCCGAATGAAACTTACCGAGAGTTGTTCAACGCGATGATAGAAAGGAGCACATCCTCGCGCCGTCGAGCACATATCTGCAGGGGACCACTCTTGTGACCGAGAATTCGTGTCCTCCAACAAATTTCCGTCTCACTTGTACACCGTTTTACTGTCGCCCGAGACGGCAAGGCTTGTTCTCTTTTCAGCTACACTTTCGTCCGCCTATAATCTTTTTCTTTTCGGATTGACCAAAGAAACAAATCGAAGGCTCCCGCAAAGAAAAACCTCTGTTATATCTCCCTCGAACGCATTTTATTTCTGTAATCGACAAAATTCAAATGTATATAATAGACAAAGGATAGAAAAGTGGATACGGAAAAATAAAACGTACAAAAATGTAAAATGATAACAGAAAATGTTTGTTTCTGGTTTAACTTTACTATTTGCTCCAACTTTTTGATTCTTTAAAAAAAATCCAGACAGTTGGGAGTCTTACTGAGTCTCGAAGATTAAAGTGAAATATACACTTGTGGAATGGAACTGCGAATGTTCCGTTATTTATTTCGGCTTCTGACGCTCACACACAATCTCCTTCATTCTCATATCGGCGTTCGAATTAAGTCACCAATATCTCAAATTCGTTTTCACAAACGTGAATCACTATACGTATTTACTTGAATTCCATTCCGCAACATACTCGGCGTAGTTTCTAATTAAAAATGAAACAGTAAAAGATGGGTAGTTGAAAAATGCCGATATAAATGTGTAAAACAAACCAAAGGATCGATCCTTTTGGAGACAACCGATACTGACGCGACGCCGCGAGATGTGCTTTGTCGCAGCGCGTTTAAAATACAGAAGGTGAACGAGAGTGGGCAGCCAAAAGGAACAAACCTTTCGACACACGCGAGCGTGGAACTGTAAACACGGGCGGACCTTTAAAAGAAGACCTCTCCCTCTTTCTCTCGGTGGACGGGACGGACAGCGGATTGCATGATGATCGCGATGCCGACGCGATCCGATCCGATTCGATGCGATGCTGTGGGCGCAGCCGCGGGAGATGTCCCTGCGAGATGCGCAGATTTATCACTAAAGTATTCGATGTTCGTTGTGGCCCATTCGAAATTTTCTCGCGCACTCCCTCGCTCGTATTCGCGCCGATTTTTGCGCCGATCCGCGAAATCGCGTGCGCGCGCGCGCGCCGAGTTGTCGACGCCGCTGCCGCCGTCGCTTTTCGGCAGCTGTCAATTACCGCTAACACAGTTGCCGCGTTTATGCAGCATCCCGATCCGACCACTTTCGGTCCAGAGGCCGTAAGGCCGTCGAGAAGAAAAAGGAAAGAAAAAAAGAAGTACGCTCGTACCGTAAATTGCAATGTCGCCACCTGTTGCACGTTTCCGGAAACTCGTACGAGTTTCCATATATTTGTGCGAGTTATCGATTGTACATATGTATATATCGAGATACGATAAAAATAAAATAATTGTATAAATAATATATAATATAAAATAATTATATTAGGTTCAATTGCTTAATCGTCTTGCTTTTGAGTGAGTTACTCCTCTAGTGAATGTGTTAGCGATCGAAAATATCTGTGGCTACATTATTGATGCTTTCCAGCAAGCGATACAGCGTGACACAAGGCGTTTTCCATTTGATGACACAAGTTGACACAAGTGTCGTTTTATGAACCTGCGCACAATATATCAAATATTAGAAACAGGAATAAATATTAAGATTTTAATCTATCAGATACCAGTTACACCGGCATACACGGTTCCTGATAGGTTAAAATCTTAATTTCAGTCTGAAAAAAAAAATTTTTTTTTAATTTTTTGGAAAATTCGGTATTTTCTTGAGAGTTCTGGTTGCCCCCCAAAAAATTTTATTGATTGTCCTATATAGATCATGCTAAAACGAACGGTAAAGAAATTATAGTCCTTCAAAGTTTTAAAATCGTGAACTTGACCCCCGAAACATTAAATGGTGTTTTCATCGTCTTAATCGGCGGTACTCTTTCTAAAATTAATAGAAAACTCTAGAACTCTTCGGCGAACAACTAGAACTCTGATTATTTTTTCAAATTTTGAAAGTGATGAGCCAAAATGGAGTGCGCATGCATGAAATAAGTAAGTTACCTAGCGTTGCTACGGTTACCACCTAAACTTCTTTCTCTTTTCATCCTTTTTGTACTCTCAAAATTCCTCGCAAAACTCACTAGATTTATTCGCATCGCAATCCAACGAATTCGTTGAAGTGCGTAAGTGCTATTGTAGAAACATATTGGAGTATATTCTATTTTTGTAGCAGTAATCTTAAGACGTGAACTTAAGATGAGTTAATTAGGATATTACTTTAGATCTACATACTCTAACGGAAATGGAAATAGCAGTAAACTTATTCATAAAGCGAGTTTCAACCGATTGAAATTCATCTTATTGAGAAGTTATGGATAAGTTTAAAGTCCCTAGAACTACCAGAGTCTGGCCATCCCTCTATCCTTTCTTGTGATTGGCGTGCCTAACAATGGCAATACCAATTGAGAACGCACATACATTCATATCCCACCAATTAAGAGCAAACATACATTTCGGACACTCACGCTATTTTTAGGGCGTGACCAGCTCTGATAGTTTAGGGACTCAAGTCGACACAAGCGTCATTCTATCCGATTACATGACATTTTTTTGAAAAACTAAATTGAAAAATGTTTGTACTAACAAAAAACCCTAGGCAACATGATTTTAATTTGTACGGATTAGTAACACTGGCCTAGTTTCCACCGAGGGTTTAAACCGTATTAGAAAGTAAGAACCAACCAACTACAATCGAGCATTCCTTTATCGTTCCGACTGTAACTTGTAACAGGGGAATACTCGACTGTAGTTGGTTGGTTCTTACATTTTGATCCGATTTAAACCCTCGGTGGAAACTAGGCCATTGACACGTCATCACGTGATCTCATAAAAAAGGCCAAGATGGCCGTTCTCAGCTTCTCTTTGGTGTATTTATTATTGAATTGTACGAATGAGATTGCTAAAAATTGCTGACTTCGTAGCGTGAAAAATCAAATTAGAATAAAATAGGTAATAGGAAAGAGAAAATTAATTTGCCGTATACTAACTCCCTCTCAGCAAATATTGTGGCCAAAGTATGAAACAAGGAGTAATTGTACTGTATTAATTTGTGCGATTGTTTATAACCTAATATAAAAATCGGCAAACTTTCCGGCCAAAAAATAAATTATTTCGATATTTGCCGATAGTTTGTTGATAAGTGAAGTTTTTCAAAAGCAATTTGGATAAGTGAATTATTATTCAAACATGAACGTCTTACGTTCGTGCGTTAAAACTATCATCCTAAATAAAGGAGTACGATCTGTAAATCACGAAGGTTAGTCGCACGATATTGTTTTAAGGAATAAAGAATTTTTTAATTACATAAATAATTATATAATTTTTCTATAACATATTAACATTATATATAAATCACTTTTATAAATTCTATATAACATTTTGCTTTCCATAGTTGACAAATTTTGCCTTTTTTTTTCTAGGACAAAGATACATTAAAAGATGGGTAGCACCGACGCAAAGAGCAATAACCAAACGCAAAAGGGCATTAGGTGAGCAGCCAGAGCCGAAACGCAGTACCTTTCTCGAATGGAACAGATCTGCAGAGGTTTATGCTTTTAATGAACGACTTTCTGAAAGTTTCAATATGGAAAAATTGGAGCAAGCCTTTACTAATAGATCCTACATTATTCAAGAGGAACAGAGGCAGAAAGAAATAGGAATAGAAAATCCTATACTTGCTATACAAGATAATACTGAATTAGTTAGAAAAGGCGAGAAGCTTACATCAGAAATTGTACAGACTTATTTAGTCCAAGTTTTACCACAAGCATCTGAGGATGTCATAATGTATGTACTATAAAAAGACATGATATAAGAAAAATATATATATATATGTGTATATATATACATATGTATATATGTATGTATATATATATATATATATACATATTATATACTAAAATAATTAAGAATTAATCATGTATTTTTTAGTTCGTTGCACGACTATCTTCTTTCTGAAGAAATTCTAGCTAAAGCGGCTTTTCATATTGGGACAAAAGATATTATTTTAACAGAAGCAAGTATAGAAATATCTAATATACAATTATAAATTATAAATTGTTTCATTCGCAATATTTTAGTGTCCACTGTATATTTCAATGTAGTTTTAACAAATTTTATTTATTTCTCAAATTAGAGGTAATGTTCAAATTGTGTTTTTAATTTCCTATTTTTAAATTAATCCTTCAGGAACATCCAGTAGCTCAAAAGACTTTAGCTGATACGTTTTTCGCACTTGTCGCGGCGCTCGCGGAAAGTGTAGACGCAAATCATACGGCGAATTTTGTTAGAGACTTCCTGATTGTTATATTGGCTGAAAAGGATCTAACAGAAATATGGAATCCAGATAATCCAGTTGAACTTTTAAATAATATTCTACAGAAACAAAACAGATCATCCGCTGAACCAAGGCTTATCGCACAAGTGGGGGAAAATACACTAGAAGTAGTATATCATATAGCATTATATTGTGATAAAGAATTTCTAGGTTCAGGTAAATGCAGCAAATTAAACTAATATAATGAGATGTGATTTTATTCAGTTTATGATTGATGTTATTTGATCTAATAAATTTTTATGTATTTTTATAGGATTTGGTCAAACAATCCAGGAGGCCAAGGACACGGCTGCCATAAATGTTTTAAGTAGAATATTTGGTTTATTAGACTCCAGTAAACCAATCAAGTTCAATAAAACAATACATCTGTCTTCGTGAACAGAGCAAGTTTTATTTTTGAGAAAAAGAAATTTAGTCTATACTGTAATAATGTGTTAGAATTATTTTTTGTATATAAAAAAATATTAAATAATA